ACTTAGTGAATATTTCAGAAATTGTGTTGATAACGTACGATGGCTGGTATTTTTGGGTTGTTTCTTTATAGTCTTTGTTTGGCGTCAAGTTTTTTGTTTGGTCTGAATAAATTGCGTCGTCAAGGTCTATAGAATTGTGAATTGTTGCATTTCGGGAAGGGAAATCTTCGTCGACAATGACTGCTCGTTTCACAATCCGTCTAGTGTCAACATCGCTGACGTTCCCCTTAGGAGATGTTTCGATATTAGATATATTAGCTAAATGTAAAAAATCGCTACCGAGCAGTGAATTAAGAAACTTCGATGCCAACTTTGTTTGTGGCAATGATGACAACACATCAGTAGTGGTGTTCGATGTGAAATTACTGTTTTCCTCCGATCCGGAAACGTGCACTTGTACTAAATGAGTGTGTGTGTGATCGCCCTCGTCGTCGAAATCATGTACAAGCTTTTGAGTAAACTTGTCAATAGTTGAAGCAATTGAGTCGGATAACTGACGGGATATATCGTAATTTCCGCCAAGCTCGGTGAATATTTCAGAAATCGTATTCTTGACGAACGCTGGTTCGTATACTTGTATGGTTTCTTTTAAGTCTTTTATCATGTTTGATTTTCTAACGTCGTCCAGTGATACTGTGAAAAAAAAATATTTAGTATGACTAGCGCCCTCTGGCGACTCAGAACAGATTAACCGTCGCCCACTCACAGCTTACTCATGTAGTCGTCTTGAGAGAGTATGTTCACAGTGACAAAAGAACAGAAGCCAAACAAGTTGTCACTGTGAATGACATTGTCTTGACCAGTTAAATAATTGATACGTCATATGTTTTTAATGACGAAGGACCACATAATCAATCAAACTGTGAACGTAAAGTGGGATAAAGCGACACTGGCCAGAAAAAAATATTTTGATTTACGATTTCTATGTGATTCTGTGATCTTAACAACCATATCGTCTCAAATATGATATACCGGTATTGTAAAACATGTCTTTTTCGCGAGCATGTATTTTTAGCGAATTTAGCGAGATAACTGATTCGCTAATTCAAGATGTCGCTAATGACTCTATTATAAATTCAAAATGGCCAAGGCTTGGGGACAAGTATTGTGGAAACAGGAAATCAACAATGACAAGAGAGATTCGATACCATAATTCCCATCATTACCATAATTCCCTAAAATTACATGTCGCTTTTTCAGCATGTTTTACAGTATTCCAAAGAAAGACCCAACCCAACTTGAACCCCACACGCATACTATCAAAATAATTCCAACCCGTGTTTTATTAGAAACGTTTTAAATGCCATCAAAGTAAATGTAATGCCGAAAACTTTTGAACACTTACTGAGCACAGCGATTACCAAATATGTTAAACTAGATATTATTTTTTTTTTGTAACGATGACCCAGCCCACCCAGTAGTAACCGAAAATAGCGAAGCGAAGAAAACAGACAGCGGTGGCAGCTGGGGTAGTGAACTACACCCTTTGAAGAAAACTGTTAGATGATATATAAGTTCATTAAAATTTAATTAGACATGTCAAGAAAAATATTTCTAAAAGATATTTTCCCCTTCTTCTTTCATGTTATGTGCCATCGAAAAAAGGGGAAGCCTTATGTACCAAGTGTAGGGGCAACTTGCTCCCAGTCACACGAAAGTACTTCTCTTTCCCTTGGACCCCTCAGTTCGAAGTGAATCATTTATAATATTTCCTATAGAAAAGTATAACTAGAGTTAACTTACCACACAGTGGTACCAGTATCAGTAATATGCATGTTTTTCCTATCATAGCGATGTGTGGCGTATATATGAAGTGAGCTCAAGGAAACAAAGATATCGACTGCGTGGTGTATTGGTTGTTACAGATCCATAGAACGACCAGCGTAGAATTTGGAACGCTACTAGAACATGAAATATGGAATACCAAACAACCGAACTGTAGTACGCTCGTAAAGTCGCGCCGTGGGAATAAGGACGTTCGATGTTATACAATTATACTCGCATTTCGGTAGTTCAATTCCAATTCAAAGCCATGCGTGTAGTAGCATACCATTGAAGGTACTAGTATATCATTTGTCGAACTAAAATGAAAATGTTGTTGGGTGATGTTTTTTGCTCCAGGCAATTGTACCATATATCGTATATATTGTCGTAACCTCTGACTGTATTTGTATGTACAATCCTACCGGTTTAGAGTAAAAATCCAACACATTTAAATTTCCCGATTTCCAAGGCTCTTTCCTGTAGAATCAATCACTTTATATAGATAAATGAATAATTATATATACACAATGTATATATGGGCTTATGTAAGCCGAAACCACTTGCTAAGTTTACGAATATTTTCACAATAAAACATTTGAAACATTTAAAGTCGCCTTGATATGAATCTTTGCCATATATAATGTCCCCTCAGATGCGACGGCACGAACATTTGCATGAGGGGCGAGATCTGCTCAACAACCTTGCCCAAGGCGCGACCTTACTGGGTGATTTTGTAGGGGCGACGCCCCCAACATTTTTTCGAGGGGCGATTGCCGTCTCTGCCACCTCGTGCCATCACCACTTTCCCTCATTCCGTTTTCTATATATGCTATACTACCAACTGGACAGGCTCTCCTGTCCCAAGGGGAGCTTAAACAATTACGGATTCGGGGATTGGAAAGAATCGGTGTTTGGATTCGAAGTTGCGTTAGTGCGCGTCTAAGGGTTTGTACGGAACGCGAAGTCACGGGTTCTAAATGGAACAACGAACAATCGTGACGGTCACTTGTACTAGGCCCATCCTGAACAAAACAACACGTTACGGAAGTATGTCGTGTTTGTTACAATACGGCGTTGTGGGAATCTTTTTACTGGTGTTTCTTATTGAACTTAACACAGAAACAGCGATGGCTCAGACAACAGACTGGGAGAATGGGCTGGTTTATACTGTGGACAGAGTTGTAGATGGGAAAAGGGTGACTGTTGTTAGTAAAGACCCACCAGTAGACAAGGAATGGGAAGCAAGACCTAAGAAACCCAAGACAGATCCACCTCCGCCAAACCCGTACACTGGGGTTCCCCCAAGGGTTTGGACCACAGCACCGGACCCTGTACCGACCACTGAATGTAAGAACCGCAACATCCGGGGTTTTTTTCCCGCATACACAGCTAGTAATTATAGCGTTATCAGATAGAACAAAATTACGTTATTTTAATTATTATTAAATGAGTCCCAAGTTTATAACATTGATAAATGATGTTTTTATAAAGTAAATGACAGCATAATTATGCTTTACAATATTATACAATTAAGGTTTTTAAAAATCAGCTTTTTAAAAAAAAAAAATCAAATGTTTCATAACGTTATATTTCTGTTATTTTTAAATAGGATATACGTATGTATCCTCCCTGGATACAGCATACTAACGTTTGCTAAAAACGATTTAAATGTCATAATTTTAGTACCATTTTAGAACAAGAAAAATACAGTTTTTTTAATGTGACTTATTTGCATACATTATCATTATGCCATTGTTTTATGATAGTACAATATTATGAGGTTATTACAAGGATACTGCAAAGTAAGCACGGAGACAGCCAGAGTATCGACGGACGCACGGCGGACGTCGATGCAACCGCGTACTGTCTGATGATACCCAGTGCAATACCGCAAAATTACGGAACGCTTAGACTTCTCTTGTTTATTTGTTGTTGTTTTCTCAATAAAAAAAAAATGTAAAATGTGGGAGTGTAAATGGGGAAAGCCAAGTTACCGCGAAAATCGGTATATAATAATGACATTTAATAACATAATAATGCATTGTTAAAAATAACGGAATGGTGATATATTAATAACGGCGATAAAAAATAACGGTATAATTACGTAATTAAAGGACGACAGTCGTCGTGCCGCGTCCTGTTCGATATGGGACTCATAGCGACGTATACAACGCGTGTAAAATACATTGTTTATTTACATGAAATTCGAACACGCGCTGTGCGACAACCACAGCGCTTTAATAGTACCATAACAGCGTTTCATTTGATAACGCTATAATAATGTTTTCAATCAGCATCTGTGTAATGGGAAGGGATACAGTACATTTTATTTCAGATATATGTTCTTGTTTGTTTATATATAATAAACATAAACATTTCATAAATTTCGCATAATGGTTGAAAATCGTGCGCTTCGGACGATGGTTGTTAATGCGGACAAGGCTCTTTCTGGGCTAAAAACCATTTACGTTCAGAAAAGTATAGTAAGTAGGTCGTATTCTACGTAATATTTTACATCATGCATTCTCAACACGTTTATGTTGGCATTGTATTTCTAGCTCCGTTCCCGCCGATATTCCAAGAGCAATTATTGTTTCAAATTGGAGAGCCCATAGTAATGCCTTGCAAAGCCGCCCTGGTGATGAAATATCAGACTTCCGCGACACCTATGTAAGTAAGATGGCTGCCTTTACTGGAAGTCTTTATTAATGTTATTCTTATCCGATTAGTGCAATCACGTCATGGACCGAGCAGTGAAACACAAAATAAAGCGTAATTTCAGGGATATATGATTTTGGTGGGGTCACTGATATAATGTCAAGTTAAATTCAAGTCATTGGACGGCCATTTTTTGAAATTTTTATAAAGTAAAAAAAAAAAAAAAAACACCTGTCAGTCAAGTCATTGGGCGGCCATTTTGAAATGTAAGATGATCAAAAACATCAACTGTCTATTGTCTAAATTTAGAAATTAAAATATTGTCATGCTATTATTACTTTAATATTGATTTTTTTCGTTCTATAGTTGGTATAAAAACGGGGAAGATGTAATTTCCTATGGCGATCGAGGATACACAGATTCGACGTACACCTTTCATATAAATACATTGGAAGAAATTGATTCCGGTATTTTTACATGTAGGATGACATATTGGGAATCGACTATCACAACTAATGAAATATTATTAAAAGTTCAAACTGGGTCCGCTAAACCCAATAAGCCCAAAAGAACGGTAACCAGTGCAGGTGAGTATTGGAGATATCGAGAATGTATTCTCGGGGGGGGGGCATCCGGGCATTTTCACCGCATGCCAACCATCACGGTGAAAACAAAGGCCAAAAACTCTTAGAAAACGGTACTTTGGGATAGTTGTTGAGACTCCTTTGAAGGGCTCATACCACTAATTGAATTTCCATAGACGACAATGTTAACATATGACGAGATTGCTATATGAAAATGACGAAGAAAGTTGAAAATATGGCTCAAAAATGGGAAATCAACATGCCAGTAATCAACCATATGAAAAAAACTAACATGTTGGCCAGCTCAAACTCTTGTAAATCTCAGGTAAACAAGACACACCTACTGTATTTGGATTGCACCAAGAGAAATCACTGGAAAACACCAAGATTAGAACATCCATTAACACACAGAGTAAACCCACAGGTACACAGCCGCTAAGTAGTAAACAAACGACCACATGTTGGTCTCACCTCTGACCCAGGTGATTACGCCCTCAAACAGGGAGCACCTGAGAAAAATAATATTTAAAAAATTTCATTGGTTCTTGCTGGGCATTTAAATTGCTACGAGCAGCCATTGGTTAATTAGTGGCATGAG